TGCAGAGTTCTGAACATGAAACTCAGGCAAGGTGATGATGAAAAACAGGTGAACACAGTTTCCAGTTTTTATCACTGGCATCCCCTGAGCCCAGCAGCGGCTGGATGTTCCAACTCCTCTGAGACTGTAGCCTCTCGCACTCATACCACTTTGTTACTTGTTGTTTTGAGGGGAACTGTAGCTTCCTGCTTTGCTGTTGCTTTTGTTAGCTTCTCTCTTGCAAGCTCTGTCGAGCATAGACTGCAGGATTTCTCATATTTCTGATATTGCCACATCAGTGATGTGTTTTGCTTGTAAATGACCTTTGAGACCCATTGTACTTTATTTATTTAGTGTGGAGTCTAGTGGAGTGTTAACACATCAAAATGGACTGAACTAAAGAAACACTTAATTGGTCTCCACCAAACAATAACAGTGATGACTCCACAGCAACCAGTTATTATGTTGTCGCCATCATAACCAAAAACTGTTTTTATTATTGGTTATTATTTGTGTACTTCATTTGAAAAAAGATGCCCTTCAAATTGTGTGAACATTTCATGACAAATTATTTTGTTAGTTGTAAAGCTAACCTATGTCAGATTTGGGGATTTGGAGACCTCTCTGGTGGAAATGTGTAATTGCATGCAACAGGTGGATAAACATTTTGTAGCATCGGTCTTCCTCAGTTAAACTGTCTGATCCACTCATACCAGCACAACACCCACTAACACACCACCACCATGTCAGTGTCACTGCAGTGGTGAGAATGATCCACTGCCCAAAGAATGTCTGCTCTGTGGTGGTCCTGTGGAAAGGGGGCTAGCAGAGAAACAGATGGATGACAGTGTGTAATTGTGGATCTGCAAAGGTCACCCATCAGTGTATTTATTGCATTATTTAATGACCCTAAGGTGTGAACAGGGCCATCTCTGCAGGTGATTAGGGTCCGCATAGATGTCCAGGCTAGAGGAGTGCACTGGCCATGTGTGTGTAATCCTGCTTGCTATGTGTACAATCCTGTCCCTGTTTACTCCGAGGGAATCACTTCATTATCTGACTCTGCTGGGGCGATTATGACTCGGGTTGGATTTAAACTTCAGGTGGAAAGTGCTTTTAGGGAGCTTTTAGGGAGCTACTGGTCTTTTAGAGCTTTGCCATTCTTCTCAGCAGGGAAAAAAACACAGGCAGCTCCTGAATCACAAAGAAACAAACTGCTTAGATCCATCTTAGATCTCAGAGATACGCTCTGATGATGGAAATACATTGAGTCTGCAGCTTTACACTTAGCTTTGTGAGTGGTTTGAGGCTTTTTTCAGATTTGAGGGGTTTACGAGATGATAGATGAAAATGCTTATACTCCAGTCTTCACTCGCATTTAGAATTGCAGCTCCATATCCTGCTAAAAATGTAATATAGAGGGCGATATGTGCACACTGTTCTACTCTACTCACATTGATGAAGGATGATTGAAATTTTAAATATTGTGTGCTGTATTAGGTGCATCTTCAACTAGACAAGACAGAGAGAGTGAATGAAGGAGGGAGAGAGAGAGAGAGACGTGGAATGAGACAAAAAAGATCAAGAGAGCGAGAGAAAAAGTGAGTAAGAAAGAAAGAAAGACTTAGTGAGAGATAAAAGAGAACTAGAGAGAAAAATGGAGCAAATGAAATGGAGAAAGAGAGTGTGTGGAGAGGGAGAGAAAAAGAGAAAAGAGAAAGAAATGGATAGTGAGAGAAATAGACAGAGAAACAGAGATAGAGAAATAAAGAGACAATAAGAGAGAGAAATAGACTGAGAAAGAGAAATGGACAGTGAGAGAGAGAAAGAAATGGACAGAGGTGGAGAAATAGACAAAGAGAGAAAAATGGATAGTGAGAGAGAAAGAAATAGTGAAAGAAAGAGAGAAATAGACAGAGAGATAGAGAAATAGGGAAAAATAGACAAAGAGAGAGAAATAGACTGAGAGAGAGAACGAAAAATAGACGGAGAGAGAGTGAGAGAGAGAGATGTGGCTCCTCAAGGGCCACTAGATAACCTTTACTTCATGCAAAGCCATGCAGCAAGACTCGGGGGAGAACACTCGATAAGGCCGCTTCTATGCATGCGTGCATGTTTGGTTGCTGTATAAGTGAGTGAGTGAGGGCTCTTCTCCTCTCTCCTGCACTGGTGTTAATGTGCTGTTTATGGATTAGATGGACCTGGATGCCTCTGGTAGGTGAGCTGCTCTTGGACCAGAGTGCCATATAAATCTGAAAGGTCACATGGTAACATGGAGTACCTGTCAAAAATCAGGACACACCTACTGTCAGGCTCTGACACTCTACCTGCATGTAGACGGAGTATCTGATATTTATCACATGCTAAGATGACCTATCTAACTCTCAGGATGGATGGATGGATGGATGGATGGATGAATGGATAGATGGATAGATAGATAGATCTTTATTGTCATTGCTCAGTACAAGTACAAGGCAATGAAATGCAGTTAGCATCTACCGAAAGTGCAAATAGTAGCAATAGTGCAAAACAGACAGTGCAAATGTGCAATAACAGGCATAAATATGATGTGAAGGAATAGTAAATAAATTATTTATTATTTGATCACTTGCATTCTGATTGGCTGTCCTCACATCTGTGTATACATTTATCCATCTCTGTGGGAGACTTTTGCTGACCAGCACCAGCAGCAAGCAGTTGTCTTTTCTTCAGTGTAACAATAATAAAGCCTTTTGGAGCAAGATATATAGTTGTTGAATAAAAACTGTGTTTATGTTTTTTTATGTTAAGGCATTCAGGTGTTTTGTGATTGATTGTTTTGCACTTGCACTATTTGGCTGGCCGTTTCCGGTCAAAGTAGGTGGTTCTTGGCCACACTAAGTGACAAAAGCTGTCAGATTTTCTTCTGATCACACTTTTCTTACTGAGATTAGGACACCCTGACTGAATGTACACTATGGACCATATTTACTAAGATATAGTTACAAAACATGCCTGTGCAAAGCTTAAAAACTATTCTTTCTTGAATGACTGGCCTGTGAAAATACTTAAAGGTGCAGTGTGTAAGATTTAGGGTGATCTTTTAGCAGAAATGGAATATGTTATACAAAAGCATGTTTTCATTAGTGCATAAACACCTGTAACTATGAATTGTTATGTTTTTTTAGCTTAGAGTGAGCCCCTCATATCTACACAGGAGCAGATCCACTTCTAACATGTTTTGCCGCCATGTTTCAGCAGTAGCCCAGAATGGAAAACACTGGTTTTAGAGAGTACATTTCATGTTTTTTTTTTCTGAAGCAGCTGTTGGTGCTAACCATTTTGCTAACCATTTTGTGTTATGAGACATTTGAGAACCCACATTTTGACAAATGGAGGATCATGCTTATTATTTAGCTCAAGAAAAAGCAAAGTCAAGTCAAGTCAAAGTTTATTTATATAGCACTTTTCACAACAGGTGTTGTCACAAAGCAGCTTTACAGACAAATCTGGGTCCAAGCCCCCATGAGCAAGCCAGTGGTGACAGTGGCAAGGAAAAACTCCCTGAGAACAAGAGGAAGAAACCTTGAGAGGAACCAAGACTCAAAAGGGGAACCCATTCTACTCTGGTCGACACCGGATAGTAAAAAGGAGGGTGAATCTTCGTCATCAAAACAGCAAAAACATGAAGAAGCAAAACAAAATTGGGACAGGCAGCAGCAGAAAGCCTGAAGGCCACCATAGGTTCTACTACACGCTTGGGGCGAGGGAGGGGTATTCAGTTAATTGAAGTCTGTAACCTCACTGCTAGATGGCACTAAAACCTTTACACTGCTCTTTTAAAACGTGACGACTATTCTCACTCTCACTGTAGTGTGGTAAAATGTATGAAGCTATACTGGCTACTATGACAACAAAAGTGCATCATCATAAGGAGCTTTTTAAGGAATTAAATATAATATTTATTCATTTTTCTTGAAAGTGAAAATATGCATATTTATCTGAAAAAGCACCATACATCATTCACTGCTAACCAGTCAATATCAAGTTGCTTTCTCTCTATGATGTTTATCACATGTTTTGGTGTTACTCGTTTTCTCAAATCACTGTCTCATGTTTGCCCACCCCCTCATGTACTGCATGTGCATGCACCTGAACATTAATTAGTGGAGTCCTCAGGTGTGTTGGAGCCAATCAGGTGTGTTGTGGCTCTATATAGCCCTATTTGGTAGACTGGCAGTATTTCTGATCGGAGTGAATCTATTATTTTTACAAATAATAGATTTACTTTGTTTGTGTAGGTGTGTACACACTTTTGACTGGTACTGTATTCACCATAGATGTCTTTTGTTACAGTAATACAGTCTGGGTTATATTATCTCTGATGTCATTTCTTTTTGATTACTGCTGTGTCAGAGATAGAGCATTTTTGTAGACAGTTATTTATTGATATTATGAACCACACAGGTTCCAGTGAAGGCAATTTCCTGCCAGTCTTTCCTGAATTGAAACTACAGGAAAGTTGAAAATTCAATATTGGGCAGCCAGTGAGAACAGAGATTTTTTTTGCATAAATTGGTCTTAAAGACATAGTAACCAAAATAGCCTGTTAAAGTGTAATGAATAAAAAAGAAAAAGAGAGGATGGAAAATGGTTATCTGAACAGTGAGCCAAACAAATGCTGTAAGTGCACCTCAGGGAAAACAAGTAAGATATATGCCCTTCAGTGTACCATATGGGATAGAACTTTTCGGAAACTGAGAAGTATTTTGCTGTTTACTTTGCCACTTTTTTTTTTTTTTTAACAACGTGGCTCACAGAAAATAGGGGTGTAATAAATACAAAATGTTCAGGTTGTTGGAAAAAAGGTTTAGAGCTCCATTTCAGGAATGTCAGAGCTGTGGCTTCAGGTATAATGATATAACATGTTGCAAACCCTGTGGTAAGATTGCATCATAATGCAGCCGAATACCCAGAAACACAACTCTTTCAAAACACGGGTTGAGATGTTTTCTTTTAACAGTTTATTTCTTGTTTTGTAGGCTGGAAAGCTTGCCATGGACAGAGGATGGGCTATAAATGTGGGTGAGTTGGTAATATACTCATGTAAATATTTATGTGTGTATATGTGTATGTGTGTGTGTGTACATACAGACAGACACATAGAAGTGTGTTTGTGTGCATGTACATAATACATATATACATACCAAGACTACACGGGAAGCACAGCTTCATGTAAAAATTCATCATAACTGAGCACTGTAAGTAGGTAACAGCATGTCTGTATTGCTCGTAACTCATCCATATTTTTGGTGATTACAGAGTAAAATATCTACTGTATGTCACTGCACTCTGGTACTGTTTGTTTTTTGGATATGAGCTGGGTCTGATAGACATTATAGTCTACATAAACATGTTTGTGGATGCCAGTGGAAACACAGCCCATAGGACTCTATAGAAGCCGAGCTTCAATGCAAGTTAATAGCAGATTCAAATACGTGCTATTAGATTAGTGTTTATTGGGCATCAGGCTTTTACAGTGTCTTTTTGGTTCCCACATGGATGCCATTCTTCACTGGAAATCTGTGACGTTATCGTGAGTAATTTTTACACATGAAAATGATCTCAACGTTTATTGGACTGTAGGCTTTTTTTGTCCTGCTTGCAAGCTCAGCTTCTGTATACTGTATGCCTGATCTCACAACAGACTACAAATAAAGACACTGTAATGTGCCTGACTGACATCGTCTCAAACTGTAAATAGTCTGCTATTTATTACTTGTTGCTCACTGATGCAGGAAAGTCATTTGAAAACTAGCATTAGTGTCACTGGCTTGAAAAACTCACAGGCTTTTATGTTTTTTCAATTGCTTTGTGGAAAATATTTTGAATTATGGAGTTCTGAGTTCACTCATTTTCTTTTCAGTTAACTGTAAACAGTAAAGTGTTTTAGTATTTGTCAACATTTGTCAACAGAAAATAGATTCACATTCAAAAGTTTGAAATATTTTCAGTAAAATAAAACCTATTTGGTTGCAGATGAATGCATAAAATGATCCTAATTTGCTGGTACTGTGTGCTTTCACAGGTTTAAAAGAGGAGGAAACTGAGAATGAAGAAACAAGTGTTAAATTTATCTAGAATGATGATTAGAACGGTGGATGAATCTCTATAAAATCGAGAATTAAGTTATAATAAATTAATAGCGAGAATGCCTTCTTTTTCAAAAGCAGTGGTGAAATCTCGAGGCAGAAACTTCTAATTAGATAATTACACTAAATTGTTTATCATTTTAGAATGTCTTATTACAGCTTCCATTCTTTTTGGGCGACTTGCTCTCAGTTTTTCAAAGGGATATGCATGTCTTTCTACACATCCGAAGTTCAGTCTTTTTTCACAATTTCACACTCAATGCAAAACACATCTGATGTGAGCAACTATGTGTCCAATCCACACTGCCTCCAGCTCAGCTCACAAAAACACTTTTGTTTATACTTTTCTAATTAAACAATTCTGTAAAAGTTTAAAACTCGACAGCCAGACCCAGATCATCCCATGGGTTTTATGGCCCAGGGGCCCTAGCCGCTAGGAGGCTTCCACTGGCAATTATGAGAAAATCCAAACAGCTGTTTTCACTCACTCTGGGAACTTTTCGAGCAGCAGAGCAAAAAAATAAACTTCATATTTGTCATTGTGTTACAGCTAATCATAATCCAGATGCTCTTCACGTCTTTGCTTTGTCTTCTCCTCTAGCCACTGCTTAGCAACCATTCCACTATCTGCCAAAGCTTCGGTAAAGCTTTCAGGTTTTTAGCAGTGAGCTAGGGTTCCTTTGAATGTACTCTGAAAACGAAGCTTCATATATTCAAAAGATGTGCCTGGGGATCTGTAAAAGTGAGATCTTTTACAGATCCACCCAAGTTAAAGGAAAGAGTGGCATCATCCTTTTCGGTAGTAATCTGAGAACTGTCTACCTCTGTGCATAGTCAGCCGAGGTAAGACATTAGGTGAAATGAAAGGAAATAAAAAATCCGCACCCGCATTAGCAGTATGCATTAGCTTAGAACGCTTGATGGCTTGGATTTTTAAGTTTACTGTTTGCTTACGACTTTATTTTGTACCTTTCAGCTGTTTCATCCTTACTGGGATAAATGTTTTGCTTGTGAAGAGTGGATGCATTGCATTGGTTGTTGGGTTTGTATAAACCTGTGTTCTCATTAATGTTTGAGTAATCTTGCTATTGTTTTGTGGTAGCTTGAAAAAGGTATGTGCTTATAGCTGTGACGTGGACAACACCACTATGCTGCCATCATGGTGCTGCATAGCCCTCATGTAACCTGCTGTGATATTGTAGATAAAATCCTGACCTCCCAAAATAGGTAATGAAATCCATTTTTAGCTTTGTTTTTGTCAGATAAAGGCCTTATCATTAACAGTAATCTCCTTTAAGACAGAGCTGGAACTGCTTGACAACCACTAGGCCAACAAGATCATCACAGATTAGTATATTGTCATTTTAAATATAGTTTTGAATGTTGTTTTTAACCCCTCAGGACCCTCTAGGCCTTCAGCGAATTAAAATTACAGGTCTGTAATTTTTAGTTTATTTTTATTAAATAGAATCATACTGATATTTAAACTGTGCGGGTATTACAGTTAAGTTGTGGATGAAAAGAAAGGGGTTAAATTATTGAAACACCTAGCAGAAAACTGGCCAATCAGGGATGACTTTTCTCTTTGTTATCTAGGTAGATATAGCTAAGCATGCTTTCCTATTGGTTAGGAAGGAGATGGACTAACGCGTTAGATTAACTACCAGAATAATTGAGACGTGATAGAGAAATCAGCCTGTCATGTTTTGATGTTCAATAGGTGGGACCGATTTCATGAGAAAAAAGGCCTTCTAGAATTCCCAGATATGTCACTGACTGAATACAAGTGCGGCCTTATCAGTGGGGTTATTAAAAATGGATAACAGTGATGGTAGCCGGTAGGAATGTAGTTCAGCGCTTAAAATGTCGGTTTAATCTAGAACAGTCAAAAAAAGTGTGTTTTACAGATTGCCACAGTTTAGCACTGACAAACTACTGGAATCCCGTATCGATGCTAGCAGACGTTAGCATCATTTTTTCCCTCTTTTTCTCAGTCTTTTGACTGAGTTTTGACATTTATGGCCTCTAGTTTTAATAGTCACGGTTCGTCACTGGTTTTAAAGGCAACAATAATGCTTATTCACACATTGCTTCAAAGCGTCATTGGTTACAGTGCACTTAATTATCCGATGACAGCAGAAAATCAGATTTTGTCAGTAATGCGATCAACACGTTTACATGCACTTGGGTAATCAGATAATGGAGAACCTCAGGGTCTCCATGAGTCAGGCAGTAATCAGATTTCTGCTTTGCAACCAGCCAAAAAACTCACAGAAGAAGACCTGACGTAAACGTAATATAAAACTCAAACTTCATGCCATGGCTTTTTTTTAAACATCGAGCCATTTTACCTAAAAATATGAACATATATCATCCAGAAGATAAAAAAAATAAATAAATCCTTTATTTAGCGAAGCATGTAGTTGGTTTCAGCGTCGCTCCAAATGTGTTTTGCTGCCATCTCGCAGCAGTGCTGCATGTTTATTTCGGGTACTGCTGTTTTCACACATGCGCAAACTGAGAAATCTGAAAGAAATCCGAGTAAGAGTCTACATGCACTGAGAAATCAGATCACTGAGCTAAAATCCAGCTCTCTCTATCAGATTTCTTAATCAGATTTCTAGACCTTCAGAGTATGCAGTGTACATGACCATTTGAATGATCAGATAACTGCAGAAATCCTATTATGATCGGATTATTGAGTGCATGTAAATGATATTGAGGTCAGGGCTCTGGTGGTCAGTCTGTTGTTCAGACCAACAGCTTTGTTTGATTTGCAATTTTTTTTTCTTACTTGAATTGAGTTGTTATCTCACAGTGGAAAGATGGACAGAAAGACCTGTGGGTTTCTTCAGATCTGATGCAAGTGGAGCTTGATATTCTGCCATGTCTCAAAGATGAAAGCTTTAAGTACTGTTTATCGGATGGTGACAGTTTTGGTGGTCTACCAGGTCTTGCATGGCTGTAAGGAGTCCCATTTATTCTTTATCTTTTAATCATTTTTTGAGCTCCAGTTTTGGACACTCCTGTTTTCTCTTACTTTTCCCTTCCTTGTGCAGTGGATTATCTTATCTAATCTTATCTAATAATGAACTTGCTTTAATGACATAACATAAAATAAGAGAAGGTTGATCTTTGACTTTTGCACAGTATCATATGTACAAACACAGAGTTAATGACTTGCTATAGTAAAGTGGAAGTGGAAAGCCACTACTTGTGTTCTGCCACTATTGTCTCTCCCCAGCGGCTGTGTGTGTGTTACCCATCGCTAATCCACACTCGTCCTCATTTCTAACTGCTGAGAGTGAAACACTATATCACAATGGCTCCTGCTGGCTCAGCCGCTTCCTCACATTCTGGATCAGACGGAGCCGCCGCATCTGCATTGATAAACATTATTTTAAATAGTCAATAGAAGAACGTTCATTTTCATGCTTCGGGTGTCCATAGATTTCCTTTCTTGTCTCCTCGCAGGACGTCGGGTGGTAATTGAAAGGCGTGAATGGCTGAGTGGGGTTGCGCGGACAAGCAATAAATACTAATGAAAACTCAGCTCATCGCCACAGAGGAGACAGTGGTGCACACGGCCATATAATGAGACTAAATATGGCAGGTCAGGAAAGGACATATTGGATCCGTTCCCTGAATAGATAAATATGCAGCCAATTAAAAAAGAGAGCCTCTCAGTCACTTGGACTCTGAGACATTTGGCTATTGAACACTCACCCAGGTGCTACATATAGGCTTTGTTGCTATTTTGGAAAACAGGTTTTGCTTACTACACAGTTTATACTCGTATCATTACTGTCTTTTCAAAGCCTGGTACCTCTTTACCTATTTTACACCATTTGAAAATGTCCACAGTACCGAAAGAAATGATCCACCATTTCTTGGAATAAGATCTTATGTTACCGTACACAGTAAAGTTGAAAATATTTTTTTTCTCTTACAGAGTTTCCATTTCACCGATACATGGTTTTGTTACAACAACGACGATGTAATACATCCAGTATCAACTCCTTTTGACTTTCAAATCCCTAAATCGTTTAGCAACCCATATTTAGCCCTCCTCTGCACCTATTCCTTTGGCTGTAGTGTTATAAGCTGCATTCCAAAGCTTAGGGCTGCAGCCAAGGTAGGCTGCATTTCTCGGCCGCTACGTCATATTAGGCAGTTTCGAAGTGAAGGACACTTCATATACGGTCTAGAAATGCAGCCTACGTTCTGAGTGATTTCGAGGATGCAACAGATGTATCCTTCCAGGCCTTCGGTTACCCACAGTTCTATATAATATATAGATATATAAGTGTAAAGTGAGTGATTAATTAAAGCATTTGTCCATATATTGTATATCATCCATATATCATATTTTATTTAGAAGTATTTGTATATATGTAGTTTATCATAGTACATAAGAACGTCTCCTCCGTTTCCGTGAAGAAATGAAAAAGCAACAAACACAATGCAATGGGCTCCAGTTTCTCTCACCAGTTCCCTCACAAGTTTCACACCGCAATTGCAAGAGGCGGGACCTTTCTGGTGATGTCACCACACAGCCTCGTTAGGACTGTTCCATTTGTGTGACCAATAGGCTACTAAGGAGGAATCTTCATAGGACAGTCCTACTGAGGACCCGCCCTACCTCAGCTGCAGCCTAGGCTTTGGAATGGAGCTATAGTCTATTCTGCAGTAGTAGGTGAACTGTTACTAGCTGACCTCATTAGAGTTAACAAGGATAGTCTAGCCAGCACATAGCAACGCAACTACATTACATTTATGGTTGAATTTTTCTTATGTAGTCCTTGACATTTAGTATGAATAATGTATGTTAATACGTTGTTATTACATCTAGTTATGGCATCTGCTTCATAGTACTGTTTGTAATGGGATCTCCTCAGTGGCTGTAAATAGCTATTAACACTCAGTTAACACTGTGTTTCTGTCTCAGGAGGGGGTTTCCACCATTGCTCCAGCGACAAGGGAGGGGGTTTCTGTGCATATGCCGACATCACGCTGGCTATCAAGGTAAACAACAACATGGCTAAAGCAGCGATCCTGCCTAAATCTTTACATTTACATGTATTTATTTACTTTGGGGTGGGCAATATGACAACAAAGTTACATCACAATACACTTTTCATATCATGGGTATCATAAGTATAAATGAATGCAAAAGTCGAAATGACCTTTTTGTTGATTTTCTAAGTGAAAATAAGTTCACATCCTCTACTTCCGTGCATTTTAAGGTATAATTACTGTTTATTTGTTGAATTTAACATATTAAAAATGATAAAACATAAAATGTGGCCTGTGCAAAAGTTATGGCCCAGTTTGTATTTTCTGTTTAGTTTTTTTTCCTATATGATAAACCCAGCTAATAAAATTGTGCACAGCATTTTGCTGAAAAATGCCATATTTAAGTTTTTCCCTGTAGAGGATGTGTGTACTTATTTTCACTTAGAATATCAAAAAAACATTCCATTTGTACAGGAGTGTTCAAACTTTGCAGCCAACTGTGCTTCTAGAACACTGAAACAATCCATAAAATCATAAAGACAGATTATAAAGAGCCTGTAAACAATAACAATGAGTGTAGTAACTGCATAAACTGTATAGAACAAGCTGCTTATTGCATGTCAACCCATTATGCCATTATCTTATTTTCTTTCTATTTCTGTTCTGTTTTTACCAGTTGTTTGAATTTCCACCTGTTCCTTACTTAATAATTTGTTCCTGTAAAGGGTGGAATAAAAAAAAAACCTAATTGGACTTTTAAAGTCTTTTTTAAAGACTTTTAAAATAACAAATGTAACCATCACTACATCTACTGTGAACATGCCTGCTCAAATCCTACAGTGGTACCACAGTAGTCCTGAGAGTGAGATTTTCCAGTTTAAAGATGACGAAAATCCCCTTCTGATGCTGTTTCTCGAAGGTGGAAGGAACATTTTAAAGAATTACAAGGGCTTTGGGGGAGATACATGAGGGTGAGCTGTTTGAAATTTATTTTTCCCGCTAGTTGGCTAATGCAGAAAGAACCAAGATAGCTAATGTTACTGCTAAGAAGCCGAATATCCTGTCTGTGTTTATTAGACTCTACATCAGTGCATTTCATGATCATTGTGAGAGGGATTCTCAATAGTTGGATTTTTATGTTTGCGTAGTGCATGCTACGTATTGTATTGAGAAAACATTGGTGGGTAAAAAAGGATACAAATTTGTGAATTGTGTCAACTAGTGAGGCTGAGGGATGCAATGCTGCGCTACACAATGTTACATAACATGACAACATATTAAATTTTTTAAGTGTCTTAATGTATTTTTGTCATATTGCCCAGTCCTAATTACATTGAGCCTCATAGCCATCCTTTAGAAACCAAGTAAATGAGTGTGTCTGACTTCTTCCAAGGGTCCAATTTCTTAGAAATTGATTGTGTTCGCTCTGATCATTAGCATGTTACTGTACCCCCACACTTCTCATTTATTTAACGTCAAACTGCAGAGTCCCAATCCCCCCTCATTTGTTTCTCTCTGCAGTTCCTGTTCGAGAGAGTGGAGGGAGTCTCCAGGGCGACCATCATCGATCTGGATGCTCATCAGGTGAGCAGCGGTCATTTTCCAAACCTGCACTGTCAATCTGCCACTGCAGAGGAGCTGAAACAGTGGACAAGATAATACCTCCAGTTTAGCACTGTAATCAGGCCTCTCACTGCCCGTGCAGCACCTTATTACATTCTACACTGTCCTCACTGTTTAACATCCGCTCTTTATACCTCATTTGAGGGTGGTTATTATTTTTAATGGTGATGTTTAATCAAGTTTTCAGTGTGTCGTTATGATAATTGCGGGTTAATTATTGTGTAATTATGATGATGATGATGATGCAAGATTCCTTGCTGTATATTAGATCGTAGAAAAAAAGGAGTTACACAAAACACTTTAACAGTTGTGTTTTTAAAAAAAGCCTTTCTTATATATTCTTAGATATAAATGAGTGGAGAAACATAGTGGCCCTTTCTCATCAAAGGTACATTTGGTCAAATCTGATTGTAAAAATGAGTCCAGGAAAATTTCACAGGCTGTTTTGTTGAGCATCAGTTTCATCTGCGGCATATCTGTACGATCGTTTGGTAGGAGTGCATGTAAGTTTGAGCATAATAGTTTAACAGCCTAAAGAAACTGCTTGATTTGCAGTTAACTAATCAAAACTATCGTCAGTATCTATAATACCAATAATAAGAATAGAAATACTAATAATACTGCCGGTATATATTTTTTGATACATATTTTGCCCAATTTTTTCATGGTGTGAAAAAAAGACTTTTGATGCGAAAATATTTCATTTGAATATTTTGTATTTTAATATTGCTTTCCTGCATCATGTTCGATGTGTGATGGCCTTCAGACCGAATTCACACCATTCACACACGTTTGGAGGGAGGACAGTTTTGTAATAAGTTTAAAACCCATCCCATGGGCTTCATGGGCACGTGCCCAGGAGCTTGAACCACTAAGATTAAAAAATTTTGCACATGGCAATTCAATACAAAAGTGGATATTTTACATGCACATTGGTATAAACAAATGCTGCAACTATTCCACGTTATTTAAAGAAACAGTACACTGTGCTTTTGTTTTATACTACTGACACTGCCCAAAAAATACAAAATACAAAGTGCTAGCACAGAAGCATCTTATAATCAGCAGTTATAGAGGATTTAAACATGTTGGAAATGCTCTAATAATTTTAAACCACAAGCTTTCACCTTCTTCAGCAGCACTACTGAAACCAGTAGAAATTGGGACTATATCAATCTGGATTAGTATTCCAGAGAAATATAACTTTTATTTTCTTGTACTCAAACTTAAACCTTCTTAAAGCCAGTTTTAAACTGGAGCGACATGGTCCGAACAGCAAACCTAATCTGTTTCTTCAATGTTTTTTTAAATTATTTTCCTCACATTGAATAATGCACAAATCTTATTAAACCGTTAGATCTTTATAAACATGCTTTGCCACTCCCAAGTGACTAAATAAAGTTTATGTAAACAGCATTTGAGCATAGCTATTAGCTCTTTGAAAAAGACAAACAAACTTACTCACCATAGCTCACTAAGGCCTAGCCTAGCTATTTAATTTAACCACCAGTGGGCAGTCTGCCCGCTCCATATGCAGAAGTATCATACAGGATTTTATTTACTTTAAATATATATTTTGGTTGAAAATTTTTACTGGACATTGTGTCCAATGGAGTTCTAATTTGAGTCAAACATCACTATTATAATATAAAAATATTTTTTGTTGATTTGTTTATATCTTATATTTTATATTATATATTTTTATGCCATATTATGTGAAATGAGTAAAATAATTAATCATGATTACAATAGTTTGTGTAGTTAAATATGATAAATAGCACTTGCTCTAGTTCGACTCCATGTAAAAAAGCAGTGCCTTTTTTATAGCTTTATACTTCATCAGAATGTATTTATCATCTTTTTTATTAATAATTCAACTTAAACATAAAAACGTGAATACAGGGTGAAAATGGAGTAAATGCAGTTTCCAGTTTTCATCACCATCCTCCAGCGATAGCAACAGTGGCTGCATGTTCCACCCACCGAGTGTATATATCGTACAGTTGCATGCCAAAGTTTGCCCCTGGTCAAATTACAATCCTCTACAAATCAAAATCCTCTACAGAGGACACACTTTAATGCACAGCTACTGTTTATTTGCTAAATTTAAAAATAAAAAATAAAACATAAAATGTGGCCTGTGCAAAAGTTACGGCACAATTTATATTTGAGGCTTTGGTTTTTTCCCAATATGTTAAACTCAGCTAATAAATAGGAAATGTAGACTAAAATTTGCAATTTTAAAAAGTAAGTTCATTCTCTGTAGAGGATCAACAAAACATGTAATCTGACTGGGGGTATTCAAACTTTTGCATGCGACTGTATGTATTATGTATACAGTCGCTTTATCCTTTGTGATGTAACCTGTTGTTCTCATACCATTATACATATCATGTCTTGTTTTGAGGGAGCTGTAGCTTTCCACTGTCCTATTGCATTTATTAGTTTGCAGGTTGTTGATTTATCCATAGCTCTCCTGTGTGCACTGTTTAGTGTAATCAGTTGAAGGTGACCCCCCCAGATCTAATGTTGCTAATATTCCTGTCATCGGAGGTGTGTTTTTCTTTTAAATAATATTTAAATCTTGGCATACGTCAGATAAACAAATTCACAGCATGACAGTAGCTGGAATTAACTTTGGCAATTACAATATTATAAAGATACAAATGTTACATTTTTATATTGTTATTACAGTTATATATCAAGGATAATTTGAAGCCAGATCACCTGTCCATCTATCTGTGTTCGGTTTCTATTTTATCAATGTTTCATGAACAGAGTCTGATATTGTGTATGTGTGTGTGTGTGTATGTGTGCAATCTGCAGTTCCTGCTGACTCACACAAAGCTGAGAATGAAAATCTGCTGTAGATATCATCTCACAAACGTCTCTTACAGAAACAGTCGTTTCACAGTCATTCATATCGGTTAGTAATAGAACATGACAGTCTGCGCACTTTCCCTGCTGGGCTTTAATGTCACACAGGTTGTCCTTCCAAACTGGACTGGAACAGGAGATTGATTTCACTCCTCTGTTATTACATTATCCTTCAAAAACAGTCCCCACCTCACTGCCTCCAGCTTCTGCTGTTCATTTATAGTCCAGCGTATCACCTGAAGTCACCCAGCCAGTGATTAAGCCCTTATGAGACTCACCTGAGGGGCTTTAAAGCTTTACACTGGAGTCCAGGACGAGTGAAGGTGAGCAGAGACAGAGAGAGAAAGATGAAAGGAGTGAACTCTCTCCGTTCCAAAGTTCAGGACGAGAGGAGGTGAGCAGAGGGGAATAAAGAGATAGACAGAATGAAAGAGAGGAGAGGGGAGACAGAGAGAGAGAAAGAAGGGAGGGAGAGAGAAAGAGAGAGAGAGAGAGAGAGAGAGAGAGAGAGAGATGGAGCGAGAGACCAGGGAGAGAATGGGATGGAGAGAAAGACAGACAGTGAAAGAGGAGAAATGGGGCAAAGAGAATGACAGAGAAGGGCAGGTGGAGAGAGGGAGAGAGCAACAATGAAGAGGGTTGAGGGAGAGGTAGATGGCGAGAGATTGAGAGAGCTTGAAAGAAAGAGGGGAAAGGCAGAGAGACAGAGATAAAGATGAAAGAAGAGAACAGACTGAGTGAGAGATATGGGGAGAAAGGAGAGAGAGTGAGTGAGACAGAGAGAATGCAATGGGGAGAGAGGAGAGAGCTACAGAGAGACATATGGGGAAAGAAGAGAGACAAAAATAGAGAGAGATGGGGAGAAAAGGAGGGTGAGATATACAGAGTGAGGGGGAGAAAGAGCTTGAGAGAGAGAGAGGGATGGAGTGAGAGAAAGAGAATTAAGGGAAGAGGGAGAGAGATGGAGTGAGAGACCAGGGTTGAAAGGGAGAGAGAGTTATGGAGAGATAGACAGTGAGAGAGGATAGATGGGGCAAATAAAATGACAGAGAAGGGCAGGTGAAGAGAGGGAGAGAGCAACAATGAAGAGGGGGCTTGAGGGAGAAGTAGACAGTGAGAGATTGAGAGAGCTGGAGAGAAGAGGTGTAGAAAAGAGAAAGATGAAAGAAGAGAACACTTTCTTTTCCAAAGTTCAGGATGAATAAAGGTGAAGATAGAGGGAGGAAAGGGGAGATGGGAGAGAGAGAGAGAGAGAGAGAGAGAGAGAGAGAGATAAAAGAAGAGGACAATTTTTGTTCCAAAGTTTAGGACAAATAAAAATGAGTGAGGGGATTGAGAAAGACAAAGAGGGGTGGAGAAAGGGGACAGAGAGAGAGAGAGTGATGGGGAAAAAGAGGAGAGAAAGAGATATAGGGGAAGAAAGGAGATAGAAATAGAGAGATGCAGAGAAAACTGAGAAAGAGACAGAGTGATTGGGGAGAAATGGATTGAGAGAGGGGCATGTAGTGATAAAAAGAGAAGAGAGACATACAAAGATAGAGCAGGACAGAGAGAGAGAGAGACAGAGGGAGAGAGACAGAGGGAGATAGAGATGAAAGGCAAGAACTCTGTCCTTGTTCCACAGTCACTCTTTGTGGCACTGAGGTGAGCAGACGGCTCTTAAACAGGCAATCAGCAACACTCTCTCTCTCTCACACACACACACACACACACACACACCAGGGAAAACTTTTCATCTCTGCTGAGCGCTGCACAGCGTCGTGCTCTTTCTATCAGTGAAAACCTACAGCACCTGTTAGAATTTTGAACACATCTAATCAACAGAGAAGACAAAGTCAAAACTAGAAAATTATTGTTGTAAACATGGTGATAACTATAAACACTAACACTCTGCAATGGTACTGTACTACGTAACTATACTAATATAATCTGGGTTGGGTGAAATACTTTGAAACGGCAGTGATAGTTGAATACTGATACACTCCTAAATATATTCAGTAACTCTGTTACAATACACAAAAAACTAACATATTCAGAATACATTTTGAATACATTTACAGTATATCTTGGTTAGGCACATGGGA